TATGAGCTTTGGACTCGGGCGACAACCTAGTCCGAAGCATTTCCATGTGTGGGGATGTCCAACTGAGGCAAGACCTTATAAGCCAAATGAAAAGAAATTGGACTCCGAACAGAAGTAGTTATTTTATTGGTTATGTCGAAAGATCTAGGGGATATAAATTTTATGATCCCACCTTAAAGACAATTTTTGAGACTGGAACTGCTATGTTCTTTGAGGATATTGAGTTTGGGGGAAGAATAAAATCGGGAACTTTGTCTTGGAGGAAGAATCGGTAACAATTCCGTAACCGATTCAAACAGCTACTTTTGATAAAGTAAGTTCGTAACCTCCACAAGGCATTGTTAATGAACCCCTTACTCAAGATGATTTGGTTGTTCATGAAGAACAAACTCAAGATCCTCAAGAACCCGTGCATCATGAGCCAATATCCTTGCGTGAGATCCACTAGAGAAAGAAGAAGTGCTATTTCGGATGATTACATGGTATTTCTTCGGGAACATGAGGAAAACAATGGTATGATGGAAGATGACCCAGCTTAACTTTCGTCAAGCCATGCAAGGTTCTAACTCGAAAAGTGGATCGAAGCAATGAAGGAGGAGTATAAGTCCATGCAAGACAATAAGGTTTGGGAACTTGTCCCATTACCGTAAGGTATGAGACCCATTGGTTGCAAGTGGATATTTAAGACCAAACGGGATTCTAAAGGTAATGTGGAAAGGTATAAGGCTCGTCTGGTAGCTAAGGGCTATACCCAAAAGGAAGGGATTGATTTTAAAGAGACTTTCTCTCCAGTTTCATCAAAAGACTCTTTTAGGACAATCATGGCTCTTGTAGCACATTATGATTTGGAGCTTCATCAAATGGATGTCAAGACGGCGTTTCTTAATGGCAACATTGATGAGACGATTTATATGGTGCAACCGAGAAAATTTTGTGCAGTGGAGATTCAAAGAGTATGGTTTGCAAACCGACAAAATCCATTTATGGACTAAAACAAGCATCTCGTCAATGGTACTATAAATTTCATCAAGTAATTCTCTCATTTGGCTTCGAGATGAATATTGTTGATGATTGTGTATATCACAAGTTTAAGGGGAGTAAGTATATTTTCCTGATCTTGTATGTTGATGACATTCTACTTGCTACTAATGATATAGGCATATTGCACGAAACCAAGAAATTTTTATCAAAGAATTTTGAAATGAAAGATCTTGGTGATGCATCTTTTGTATTAGGAATTCAGATACACCGAGATTGATGTCGGGGTATTTTGGGATTATCACAAAGGAGCTATATCGAAACAATTCTTAAAAGGTTTGGCATGTATGAATGTAAATCCGGGGATACTCCAGTTGCTAAGGGAGACAAGTTTAGTCTCAATCAGTGCCCAAAGGGAAATTTGGAAATTGAGGAAATGGAAAAGATTCCCTATGCATCAACTGTAGGGAGTTTAATGTATGCCCAAGTATGTACGCGTCCAGACATAGCATACATAGTTGGGGTTCTAGGCAGATATTTAAGCAATCCAGGAATGGACCATTGGAAAGCAGCAAAAAGGGTCATGAGATATTTAAAGAGAACACAAGATTACATGCTCACATACGGGAGGTCGGATCGGTTGGAGATCGGCTGGGTTTTCGACTCGAACTTTGCGGGATGTCAAGATAGTTTGAAATCCACTTCAGTGTTACATTTTCATGTTAGCAGGTGGTGCGGTTTCTTGGCGCAGTGTCAAGCAAACCCTTACAGCTTCATCCACTATGGCAGCAGAATTTGTAGCATGCTATGAGGCGTCGAATAATGGAATATGGCTGAGAAATTTTGTCACAGGGCTGTTAATTGTGAAAGGCATTGAAAGACCACTTAAGTTATATTGTGACAACAAATCAGCTGTATTGTATTCCAATAATAACAGAAGTTCGACTAAGTCAAAGCACATCGACATTAACCTAACATGTTGAAGTTATTTTTTTAATTTAAATCTATCACTGTATTATTACATGTTTTAACGTTAATTTGTTGATGTATCATAAAAAAAATAAACTAATAATCATAAATATAGTATTAATGATATTTTGTGTTAAATTTTTAAATAACATATGGTAAGTCTTATTAATGTTTTGCGTTGTTTTGTTTATAATAACGTATTGAAAGTATTAATCAATTAAATAGTCTATATAATATAATAGAATACAATCTATCACTTGTTTTACCATTAATTAAAGTCTATGAATATCTTTATTAAAAAAAGAAAAAAATAACAATATTATTTTACCAATTGACCACTTATTTTATAGTACAAAAATTATTAAATTTTATACAATACGAAAATCTCCGTAATAATAACAGTAGAATCTCATTTAATATATATAAAAAAAATAAGTTTTTATGCTATGAGACATTAGGGATCTATATAATACCTAACGTTTTAATATAAACTTATTTAACCCTCGACATGATGATGTTATTTTTTTTTTATTATTTAACTATTCTTGTCTACTTTCATATCAATATTTCATTTTTTTACTAAAAAATATTTAATAAAACTTACGTATTTAACATAATAATTCAAATATAAAAAAAATTATTCATTTAAATTTACTGTTTTACAAAAAACATAAATGGTAGCATACCTCTGTCAGATACGAAATTAAAAAGATTACAATTAGTTCAATAGATAATGTTAATTAATACTTAAGTAAGAAAAAAACTATAGCTTTAAAATTATTAAACTATTTCATAATTAAGTGATTAAACTCACTTGATTGCAATAATTTTAATTTCATCTGTGTCCATTAATTAAATAACTCAGAAATATCAGTTTAGATATGAAATAAATATAATTAATGGATACTAATGTTGTAAAAAATCAAAATACATCAATAATAATTTATAATCATAATACTTAAAAATATACAAAACAATAATAATAATCATTAAAATATTAAAATTAAAACATTATTGAATAAACGAAATAAAACTAGTATCAAAATGATTGATATAAAAAAATTACTCTAAAATCAAACATTTTAGACCTAATTTAAACGATCATATCGCTAAAATTATAAAATATATTTAAATTAATAATTATTATAATATTAGGAGAAAAAAATACAAATTAATTATTATTATTATAATACAATATAATATTTGAATTATTATGGGTATAACAAACTCTTATATTCTCACTTATATTATATTTAAGTTTTATAGTTTATATTATAATATATTATTGTATTTTTGAATTATTATCTCAAAAAATTTCAATATTTGAATTGTTTGTGATTAAAATAGTTTAGATGGTAAGACATTACATATAATATTAAATAAAAGGATGAATTTTACATCAAATCATATTATAACAAAACGTAAATTTATATTAGATCTAACTTCAACTAATGTAAATTTAGTCTCTTGTAACATGATCTGACCTCAGACCATGCAATAATTAATGTAAATTTATGTTTATTGTAACATAATTTGACGTAAATTTTGTCTTATTTTTTAAAATTTTGTACGTTTATTTTTTATTTTATATAACGTAAATGAACGTTGATCTTCGATGTAAATTTAAGTTAATCATAATAATCAATATAAATTTAGGTCTCTTATATTAACACTGAACTTACATGTAACTTAAAAAAATTAAAATAAAAAACCCATCATCCACATGTAATTAGATTATGTTTCGTCAAGTTATTTTTTTAAATTTAAATCTATCATCGTATTATTACATGCTTTAACGTTAATTTGTAGATGTATCATAAAAAAATAATAGTATTAATGATCTTTTGTGTTAAATTTTTAAATAACATATGGTTAGTCTTATTAATGTTTTGCGTTATTTTATTTATAGTAACGTATTGAAACTATTGACATTTATCAATAATCAATTAAATAGTCTATAGAATAGAATAGAATCTATCACTAGTTTTACCATTAAACAAAGTCTATTTTACCAATTCACCATTTATTTTATTATAAAAAAATTATTAGATTTTATACAATAGAAAAATCTCCGTAATAATAACTGTAAAATCTCATTTAATATATAAAAACAGAATAAGTTTTTATGCTATAACACATCTAGGGATCTATATAATACCTAACGTTTTAATATCAACTTATTTAGATGCTATTTTTTTATTATTATATTTAACTATTATTGTCTACTTTCAGATTGATACTTCATTTTTTTTAATATGTAATAAAACTTACGTATTTAAGATAATAATTCAAATATAAAAAATTATTCATTTAGATTTACTATTTTTATTAATGATCAACGAAAACAGAAAACATAAATTGTAGCATATATACCTCTATCAGACACGAAATTAAAAAGCTTATACAATTAGTTCAAGTGATAATGCTAATTAATACTTAAGTAAGACAAAAATTATAGCTTTAAAATTATTAAACTATTGCATAATTAAGGGATTAAACTCACTTGATTACAATTTTAATTTGATCTGTATCATTAATTAAATAACTCAGAAATATCAGTTTAGATATGAAATAAATATAATTAATGGATACTAATGTTATGGTAAAAAATCAAAATACATTAATAATAATTTATAATCATAATACTTAAAAATATACAGAACAATAATAATAATCATTAAAATACTAAAATTAAAACATAAATATTATTGAATAAACGAAATAAAACTAGTATCAAAATGGTTGATATTAAAAAAAATACTCTAAAATCAAACATTTTGGACCTAATTTAAACTGCCATATCGCTAAAATTATAAAATATATTTAAATTAATAATTATTATAATATTAGGAGAGAAAAAATACAAAATAATAATAATTATTATTATTATAATACAATATAATATTTGAATTATTATGGGTATAACAAACACTTATATTCTCACTTAAACCAACTAACATCAAACGTTAAGATTGAGTTTTCTCTATGGAATTTTCTCTACTTTCACTGTCAAGTGGCAAATCAACTGAGAACCTTGTGGAGCGAAGAAAACCATGACGAACGTTGATATTGAAGAGCAAGATTCATGCACGCCAGAGACCTCTGCAAAGTCTAAACTTACAGGACAATATCCTGTTGAAGGTAAGTCGTTTTATGTTAATGTTCTCTCATAATTCAACAATAAAGATTAATATGAATTGTTCTAGGTAAATTTTTTTACTTTACATGTTTGCAAGAGAAAATACTATAGGAAAATTGATTATTAGGGAATGAGACTTATTAAATTGTGATCTGACGATTGTTCTTAAATTGTTAATTTCTGATTGGTGCCTTCTACTCTCAAGTATGGAAAGGAGAGAAATTTAGGCTTGGTTTATATTATTTGTGTGATTGACCACAGGCATTGAGCTCAAATTGCATTATCTATGAATACAATTATTTAATATTTGACATTTACATGATTTTTGAATTTTTGAATGAATGACATCATATGGTGGAGTTAAGATCTGATTTTGCTTGTTTCCGACGTGTTTGTTTTGCATTTGACTACGTTTAGTGAGTATAGATTTTTTTCTATGGTCCCACAAGCACATGCATCTAATGGACCCGACTTCTCTGAACCTGCAACTCAAACAAGTGGTTTTTGTCTTATATTATTATTTTTTTTTTTAATGAATTCAATATGATCGACTTCTCTGAACCTGCAACTCAAATAAGTGGTCTTTGTCTTATATTATTTCTTTTAAATGAATTCAATATGATTCCTATTCTAGGTTTTAAGTTTATCTAACTGCACGTGTTTGAATGAACCCGATTTGTTATCAGATGACGTAAAGAAAAGGAAGGACAGGGAAGAGATTAATGATGATAACTTGCCTAGGAAAGTGCCAAAGAAGGTATATCGGCCTAAAGTGTTTTCTCAAATAACTAACAGAACAAACAAATCTCATGCCAAAGGCAGAACTCCCAAACCTTCAACTCCAAAACAGAGAACAAGTTATGTAAGGACGAGACAGTTATTCACTGAAGGCTCATCTGTTTCTAATAATGAATTAGGCATTGAATACAATTCACTGCAAAGTTATCAGACTCTGTCATATTTGTCTGGTTCATGTCTATTACAAAGTAGACAAATTGGACCAAATTTTCCACTCTTGTTCAAGAAAAAGAGAGCGGCTAGACAAAAAGCATGTTTAAAAAAATTCTTGATCCCTTTTCAGAAAGGAACGAGATCAAAGAGTTTCGTTAGGAGGAGAAGAGATTGGGTAGATTTCAGCGTAGAAGGTAGCACCTTCAAGAGTAAAAAGTTGATAACTAGAATCAGGAAAGTTCGTATTTATATGAAAAAAGGTGGTAGAAACACTGAAAAGCTCTTTCAATTGGTTCCTTACAAAAGGTCAATGGATGTTTTACTTGACGAAGAGACGTTAAGGGTTTGGAACTTGCTAAAGGAGGAAAAAGGACACGAAGAGCATGATCAGACGAAGAAACAATATTGGGACTTCATCAGAAAATTATTTCAATTGAAGGTTGAATCATTCATAGAACACATGCATGTCATTCAAGGTATATGTTGGCTGTTTCATATTTCATTTTTTTTTTATACATTTACAACACCTATAATATATTAAGAAAAAAATTCAAATAATATTTTAGTGTCTTAAACTATTATTGACCTAAGAAAATTCAATAAATAACTATCCACATGCTGTTTTTATTCTTCTGCATTTGAATAAAATCAATACACATGCCCACAATAGAAAAAAATATTACATTTATGTTTTTAATTTTGATTAGGAGTTATTTTTTACAGTTATAAATAATCTATAACGTATATCCATTTTTTCATTTTTAGTATAAAAACTAAAAACTAAAAACTAATAATTGCAGAGTATAAAAACTAATAATTATAGTTAATGTATAAAAACTCAAAATATCTTTATTATATAGATTATTATTTTTTTATTGTAAACTAATTGTTTGATGACGATAAACTTTGTAGGTGATAGACGTTTTTTACCATGGAAAGGTTCAGTTTTAGATTCTGTAATTGGAGTCTTCTTAACTCAAAATGTTGCTGACTATTTGTCAAGGTGAGATTAGTTACGTAATCACACTGATATTATATGTAGATTTCTTATAAATTGTTTTAAATTTTTGTATTAAATATTTATAATTGTTTTAAAAAATCACTGATTACCATTATTTTGAAATATATTCATATTTATTTTGTATTAATATAATAACAATTATTTAAAATTTAAAAACAAAGTAGGGATATTAATGCTTAACTCGGTTTCGTTGTAGCAATGCGTACATGACACTTGCTTCAAAGTTTCCTGTGAAAAATTATGAACCAAATGGGATTACGAACAACGTTGATTGTAATACGAAGCGTGAGGAGGGAGTGAAAGAAAAGAAAGTTGAAGAGAAGGAAGAAGAAAAAGTTGAGAAGGTAAGTGAAAAGGTAGATTTTGTTGATGGTGAGAAAAAATCAAATGAGAAGAAAAGTAAAAATAAAGAGGAAAAGGAGAAGTTGATGGAGGAAAAACGCGAGTATTGGAACACACTAAGAAAAATACACACAAAAGAGTATCGCGAATCTGATGAAATGGATTCTGTGGATTGGGAAGCAGTTCGTCGCGCAAAAGCTAAGGAAGTTGCTGCAACTATTTCTGCTCGAGGCCAACACAATATCATTGGAGGAAGAATTCAGGTATAAATACATTTATTTATTTATTTATTTATTTATTTATTTTACTTTAATTTGACTAATGATGTTATTAATTAGTTAATGACAATAAACATTATTGAATTACAGCATTTACTAAATAACTTGATGCACTCCAATGGAAGCCTGGACTTAGAATGGCTAAGACATGCTCCACCAAAGGAAGTCAAGTAAGTATAATCACTTGTTTCATTTATTAATAATTAAATAATCATAAAAATCAGTTTTTATAAGCATTCAATTTTATTTTATTTTATTTTTCATTTTCAGGGAATATTTATTGACAATACATGGATTGGGATTGAAGAGTGTCGAGTGCATTCGACTTTTAACTCTATGTCATAGTGCTTTTCCCGTAAGAATATAAAATACACTATTTTTTTTTTATATAATTTGTCAATATATTTTTTTTATCACATTTTTTTTTTTAATTTTGAAGGTGGATATAAATGTTGCAAGAATTGTTGTGCGTTTGGGATGGGTTCCCATTCAACCATTGCCCGAATCAATTCAAATACATAATTTAGAAATGTAAGTCATTAAATTAGTTTTATCATTTGAACTTTTTATTACTATATTTATTATTATTTTCATTACTTTATTGTTGTAGGTTTCCTGATTCCAATAAAATTCAACAATACCTTTGGCCACGGTTATGCACTCTCGATCCGCGTCAATTGTATTATCCATCATCTTAATTTTTTATTTTATTTTATTAGCTTAAAATAATCAATGGTATTTCGTCGTCTTTTTTGTAGATACGAACTGCATTATCAACTTATAACTTTTGGAAAGGTACACAATATTATTATCTTACATTTATTTACCTATTTTATATATTTATTTATGAGATTTTACTAACCATTTTGAAAATATATTTGAAGGTTTTTTGTACGAAACAAAAACCAAACTGCAATGCATGTCCGATGAAAAATGATTGTAAATATTTTGAAAGTGCTTTCTTAAGGTATGTACAATTTATATTAAATCATTATATAACATGATTAAGGAAAACATATTGTAATAATTCTGATATATTTGAATTGCAGAGCAAAATTTGCTTTGCCTGCATCAACCATGGAGGAGGCAACAAGAACAACACCAGACCTTGCTTTACCTGACTCAACACCTTTCATTTATGAACCAAAAATATGTGACCCTATCATTGAGTTGCCAGCATCACCATCAGCATCACCACCAGCATCACCAAGAGGATATGATGTAAATAATGATGAAGAGTTTTGCAATGACATTGAAGATATGCCATTATGCACACACAACGAAGAACCAGATTATTCTCCAGAATCAACAGCTATAGTTGTATTTAATGCAAATACCAACATTCCTTTGCCAAAGATGAAAGATGTTAGTCGCTTAAAGACTGAACGTCTGGTGTAAGTCAAAATAGATAAATTTAAATTATCAAAACATATAGTTTCTAAACATAAACCCTAAACCTAATATTATTTATTGTGAGGTTTATATGTGCTAACACTTTTTTTTTTTCCATCTTTCCATGTAGTTATGTGCTTCCTGATAAACATCCTTTGTTATCTGAGGTTTGTTTTATTTTCCAACAATATAACAAAATTAAATATATAATTAAAATACTATATATTTCTAATTTTTATTTTTATTTTTCAGTGTACTCCACGGGAAGTAGACGATCCTTCTCCATACCTTCTGATCGTATGGACTAAAGGTATGTAGTATTATGATGTAAAATTTTACTAAAAAAATTATTACAAATGTGAATATACTTGTTTTTGCATTAAAAGGTGAATTAGAAAATTCATGTGAATCAAACGTGGAAAAGGAAGAAGTGGAAGAAAATAGGTTAACAGTACCTGGAACTCTTTCGGTAGGTGAATCTACTTCAGATTTAAAAAAATATATTTTACTTATAAAAAAAAATGTTCTTGATATTAATTTATGAAACAGATACCATGTCGAACTGCAATGAGGGGACGTTTTCCTCTTAATGGAACATACTTTCAAGTTAACGAGGTAATTAATTATCATTGTGTTTGTTTTTAGTTAATTAAGTTTTGTAATACCTTGTTATGCGTCAGGTTTTTGTTGATTATGCTTCCATGATACATCCCATGAATGTTCCAAGAAAATGGTTATGGAATTTGGAAAAACGAATAGTATATATTGGGACCACTGTATCATCAATCATGAGAGGTAAATGAAATTGGATGTTGTTTATTAATTTAACTATCAAAAAGAGATAATAATTTTTTTTTTAATTTCAAACAGGTTTATCCGAGTCTCAAATTCAGAGTTGTTTTTGGAACGGTAAGAAAATATATATGATTTATTAAAATATAAAATAATTTTCTTTGTTAAAAATATATATAATTTTGTATATGCAGGTTATGTTTGTGTGAGAGCGTTTGATGTAAAGACAAGAGCTCCCAGACCTCTATCCCAAATATTGCATCGTAACACAACGTTTAAACTTGGAAAGGAAAATAAAAGTTCCCCTGTACGTGAGGAATAGGTTATGTTTACTTTTAGCACATACATTTATATTTTATTTTTATTATTAAACATTTTCTATATTTTATGACATGAATAATGACTAAACATATTCCATATAATATATTTTATGTAATATTATAATATAGGGACGCATTTGTAAAAGAGTGGTATAACATAATTAATTATAACAAATAACAATAAAATTATACCTTTTATATATTTGTATATAGATTATGTGTAGGACATGTATGATGGAAATATGTCATGTTGTTTTTTAATTTTGAAAGATGTAAAATATGTTTTTTTTTGTCATGTCATTCTTAAATAATTTTATTTATTTATTTATTTTGTTTATTTTTAAGTTATTTAATAAAATAATTTTTAAAAATATTTAAGCAACTCATCCTATATTCCTCAAATAAAAATTGGTTTAAAATAACTAATGTTTTACTTAAACAATTCCATTAGAGATGTTTGTAACATTAATTAATTCATTAAAACTAGTTAATGACATACTTTTTGTTATAATTTTCATTTTAATTTACAATTATAATTTTAAACTATATATTTAAGTAAAATAAAAATAATGAAATAATATATATATATATATATATATATATATATAAACTATATTTTCTTACCAAAATTAATTTGAGTTATAAAAATATTTTCCAAACATAAATATTCTACCTTTTATATATAGTTCTTGAATACACAGTATCACAAATGAACTATCAATTTGTATACAAAATATATATATATATATATATATATATATATATATATATATATATATATTTGTTTTCTACTAATGTTGTTTTGTACGTGTAATATAACTATATAATATAATATCAAAGTAATAATTAATTATGAAAAAATAGTACATTATTTTGTATGTATAAATTATGTTTTTTATGTTTTTGAAAAGAAAACTAAATTCATGCCTAAAAAATTAACTTAACATGCAAATGACGAATTTATTATGTCAAATTTATTTAAAAAGTATTGATTTTAATAATAAATTATAAATTATTCTTTTTTTATTTTTATCTATATTGCATGTATTTATTTATTACATATAGTTATTTTTTAATACAAACTATAAAAAAAATAATTACGCTAATAATTATTGTGTGGGATCATTGATGTATGTCATTTTATTTTTTATTTCTCTTCCCAACAATTTAATTTTATAATTATTTATTTAAAAAATATTTAATTTTATTATAAATAATTTTAAAATTAATTTCTCTTGTTCAATATTCTACAAATAAATGTCTTATCACAATAATATATCATAATCTCTTAAGGTGAGAATTGCACCATTTTCTTTTCCTATTATTACTTCTTAGTTAGCGAGTTCATTTACTAATACACTTTTGATTTGTTCTCTTTTATTTAATTTATAATTTTTATTAAAATTTTCAGTTTATATTATTCTATTTATTTTATTTATTTAGTGTTCATTTTAATTTATGTTATTTAATATAGAATTTTTAGTTTAGTGCTGCTTAATTTTCATTTTCAATTCATCTCTTTTCTAATTTGAAATTTAGTTTTTAGAGTTATCATTTTCAAAAATTTCAAATTTAATTTCTGCACTTTTATATTTTAAAAAAATTATTGGTTCTTGCATGAATTAATAACACAAAATAAAAGTATATAAACATGAATTAATAATTCATTGAATTATGTTTCAAATTTATTTATATAGTAATCCCTTTTTTTCATACTTTCTATAATATTATGATTCATGAATGTATATTTTATATGATGATCTTTCCTAACATTTCATAACTCCACAACGTAAGATGTGGGGTGAAAATTCTTATTTTGAATTTCAAACTTTATTTTTGCATATAATATTTTAATAAAAATACTTAAAAAAAATGTTATATATAATAAATCACACCTTATGCTATTAAAAAATTCAATAACTTATTTTTCACCTTATTTCTCTAATACTATTTTTTCAAACAAATATACAAATTATGTTTTTTATCTTTTGTTATGAGATTTGTTAGAATAAACAAATAACTAATAGAAAAATAATTGAATTCGAAGTCTAAAAACTGGCACTTGTTATGTAGAATAAAAACATTTTGTTTTAATTAAAACAACTATTTGTAATGGCATCTAATATAAAGAAGATTTTTTATCATGATGATTTTTTTATATAAGTTCTACAACTAACATAAATCTTGACATAGAGAGTTTTACTTATTGGTTTTTAACATAATTATCATATAAAATCTTGTATCAAATTTCTTTTATATAATCATATTTCTTATAAGTATTTTATTAAACAATTTTAAATATAATAAAAATATAAAAAATAAACACAAGTATCATCTATAAAATGAACAATTAAAAATAAAATTTAGAAAATTTTCACGGATGAACATTCCATCAAACTAAATAATTAAATATAAAATAATAGAGAAGAAAATGAAACAATTTTCAGATATTACCTTTAACTTTATTATATATAATTGATAAAAAAACAAGGTTGGGAGAAATTGTGGTACAAGTGTGATGAGATAAAAAGAAGATGAAAATAACTAGGAAAGAATGAGATAAAAGGACAAGATGTTGGGTGGAGTTATAAGATAAACACGAAAGACAAATAACACAAAACGAATACGTAAATGTTAAACTTAGATACTTATTATAATGAATTAAAATTAAAACATAAAATTTATTATCATAACTAAATTTTGAACCGAAATAAAAATTACTCACTATGTTAATTCAAAATTAAATTAAACTAATATAAAGAGTATTTATTATGAAAATTTAAAATTAAACTATTATAAAAAATAAATTTTAATTATAAAATTATTACCATTGAATTATGATAAGTGGATTAAACTTGTCCGGTTATAAAATATTATTTTTTTCACAATTTCACACACTCACAAGTTTAGTTTAAAAATGACACTTGCTATTATTAATTACAATCTTTGTTTTTATTTAGAACAACTATTTGGAGGGGCACTTCCTATGGACCAAAATTCCAAACAAAATGTGGAAACAAGGAAAAGTGAACGAAGGCGAAGGAGATAGTGATATTTTGTTCCCATTGTTTTCTAATTTGTACTCTTTCGTCATTGACATGATAGTGGCCATGCATAGATTTCTTTTTTTATCCCACCTCCACCTTCATCGCCATGTTGTCCATGGTTCCCACTTGACCATTCATTCCTTTTCATTTGTATTTTCAAGAATAATAAACTTGTTGCGGTTGCGCTAAATCGCCAACAATTCCAAATTTGCTTCCCTTAGAAAGGACGTGGAGTTGTATAATTAGTCATGAAGTAGAGCATAAATGGATGGATGTTAAAGTAGTTTGAAATTTCAAAGTGAAATAGGACAATATCATCTTCGACTTGTTACCTATTTATAAACCTTAAGAAAACCATACAATGAAGTTTGAAGACGGTGGACCAACTATGAAAAACTACACATTTTTCCATCAATAAATTCAAAGATTTCCGATGGTGATAAGAGTACATGAAATGTTTGTTGTAAATTAAGGGATATTGCAAAACTTAGAACGTGTTCCCACAAGCTATAAAGACCGTTTCAGAAAACGTGTTCTCATACGTTACAGAAGACCGTTTCAGAGAAAGTTACAGATAATGTTTACTACCAAGTCTTCTCATAATTGTTACAGACTTTCTCCTATAAATAGAGACAATTTCACACTCTTGAGAAACACACCTCTCTCTCATCTTCTTATCTCTAATATTCTTTCTATGATTTTGAGTTAATTTGCTCTTTTGAGAGTTTCTTGCTAGTTTCTGAGATCCTTGGATATTCCGAGAAGTTCTTGTTGTATCCTGGGGGACTTGCACAATACACCGTGGATAAGTCCTTAAGGGCACGCCTCATGAATAAAGTTTGTTTGTATCTGTCAATTTTCCAACAATCTTAAGGACTTAAAGTTGACAGTACGAATATCAACAACTTCCTTCAACAGTTTTACAATATTGGATAGTCAAAGAAAGAGAATTATGAAGTGCTCATGGATCAAAGTTAGTTTACTAATTATGATTCATGAATGTTATCATGTGAGAATCAATTCATGTATGTTATTATATGATTATTATGATTAATGTATGCTATTATGTAATAATAAAGAATCCAAACCTGAAGAGTAGTTTTATAGAATTAGTAACGTATAAAAACTACAAATTAAAATACATGTGGTATCAAAGCCATACTTATTAGATTTATGATTTTTTTCTTATGATAATTTTTAAATTATGTTTTTCCCAAATTAAGATAAATCCTAATTATGAATTTAGGATTTCTCTATCAGATTAACATGAACCATAATTTATGTTTTTAGTTATAATCAATTTCTTATTGAAATGTGAATGACCCTGTAATTCTTATTGGAAAGACAAATGATGTGATTGAGTTAAAAGTGAATCATGTATGAAATTAGTTTCACTGCATGTTATAATTATGATAGAAAATGTTTGGAGGTTATAATTATGATAGAAAATTTTTGGATCAAAGTAATGTCATCTAACACACACTACAAGAAAATCGCATATTTCCGACGGATTTTTACCAACGGATTTGTAACCGTAAGAAAATAAGTCATTACCGACGAAAATTACCGATGTATATAGAATTTTGTCTTATCAACGGATACATTAACAATTAATTATCGATGGATATATCCGTCGGTAAATTA